ACGCAGCACTGCCGCGAGACAACGCAAATGGAAGCAAACGAGACGAGTAAATCCCGAAGCCGAAGGACGCTAAAGGCGATATGTCTATATATATTATATATATATATAGAGACAGAGAGAGAAAGCCCAAATTCGAATATATTAATAAAAGTAAAGATACAGATAGTTTGGATGAAAGGGCCTAAATTGACACCCTAACCGCCCGACATAAAACACAGAGAAATACATGTATACAAAAAGAAAGATTAAAGAGTAGAAATAGAAAAAAATACGCCAATAGTCTGCCAACACTCGCAAATTCAGTTAGCATGCGAAATATCCAATTTAGCCTTGTTTCTGCCTCTGGTTCTAGGACGAGATCCAGTTAACAAATTATTAAGTTTGTTGCCATTACCTGAAACAACTAATGTATCATCCATCAAATTTGGTAATAGACCTCCATTTTTCTTTTTCTTCCTAGATGTATAAATCTATCGTTCCTCATCCGGCGATTGACTCATCTGATTAGTGGATTGGTTCAAAGGTGGTTGGACAGGTGTATGTTATTGCACATCATGAGCCCCATGTGTATGAGTAACAGTAACAACTTGCTCATCTTGATGAAGTGGTGAAAATGCAACAGAAATATTGCCACCCGTTACATCAGTGATAAGTTTTAGGGCAGGTAAAACTTCTGTCGAATCTCCATCATGAGCATTGTGTGCAGATTGAATGATTGACATATAGGGTTTCGCCTGATGTCGATTCCCGATGGTGAATATTCGACTTCTATCCTTCTCTTCGTCGCTCCCATGGCGACGACTTCACTGCTCTCACAACTCTTAGTCGACAACGCTAGCTCGCAATCGTTTGTCCACTCGACGACTGCTCGCTCGCAGTCGCCTCTCCACTCAACTACACTGGCTTGGGTCCTCTCTGCCGTAATAAACGACGCTTGGTTAAAAAGAGAGAAGACAGTGACAAGATTACTGTATGGGAGAAGATGAGGAAGGAGATGCAGAGAAAATACATACCTTCTTGTCATCACCAGGATATGTTTTTGTGACTCCACCACCTAGTAGAGAGACCTATCAATGGAGGAGTTCACGACACAGTTTGACCAGTGGTTGATGATGTGTGTGTTGGTCCATCCAAAGAAACATTCCATAGCCCGTTATCTGGGGGTTTGAGGCTCACTACTAGTAATGTTGTGCGGCTGCATCCTTATTGGTCATTGGGAGATGTCCAAACCTTATGATTGAAAGTTGAGAAACTTCATAAACAAAGCATACAACTACCACTGTACAGACGACCACCCGCAGTGGGAGACATTAATAAGAGCATGTTTCAGGGAAATGAGAAGACTTGTTAGGATAAGGATAAAGTTACTCAGAGTGAGAAGAAGCCTTAGAAGAGCAACACACCCATTACAGTCTCAGTCTGAAAGTGCTTCAGATGCCATGGATTTTGGTACATCGCCTCCAGTTGCCCGATGAGCCAAGTTGTCTTTTACCAAATAGGGTGCAATGGAGGAGGTCAACAACAAAAAAGATAGCGGAAGAAATAGGATGAGGTGTACCATCTTCCACTAGATGAGAGCGAGATGCTTTTGGTTCGACGGGTTCTACAGATTAGGGATATGATGAAGTCACAGTGGCTTCGCCATAACATATTCTAGACCCGTTGCAATATGAACAAAATTGTATGGTCATCTTTGATGGAGGGAGCATCAAGAATGTGACGTCTACACAAATGGTGTAGAAATTGAGCCTCATAACTCATAGATATTCCCAACCGTATTCTCTGACGAAGTTGAAGAAGAACAGAGTCAGCATTGACAAGAGGTGTCTAGTGGAGTTTTCAATTGGAAGCCAGGTGCAAGATGAAATCTGACGTGGTCCTCTTGCCCGTGGAGATGGCATCGACGCTCCGTTCTTATGTCACTGCCCTTGCCGACGACTTTCCAATTCCTACTCGTGCCTCTCTTTCAGGTTCAGAGCCTGAGTTTTGGTATCGTAAGTCTTGTAATGTTCCACAATCTTTTCACGAGGCTCTTGAAGGTTGTGGTGATCACAGTTTCATTAAAAAACTTAATAAAATAAAGGAAAGTCTGCTCTTTTTCTCATTGAGGTTGAAACCAGCACTCTTGTGTCTTCTTGGCGTTTTGCTCTAGTGGAGAAATTTCTTTATGGTCACCAAAAACTTGAGATAATTCAAAAAGATTTTGATGCTATGAAGTTATTGGACAGTTGAAATATTGCCTTACTTCACGACCGACATATACTTATTTAGTTATCTCACGATGTGGATTATATCCATTTTTTTTCTCGTAAAATTATCAAGATCGACAACCGTTTTATGAAAATCCTGAAGTTGACTGTTGATTTTGATCCAAAAGCGGAGTTCCCTATCATTCCTGTTTAGATAAAGTTTCCGTGGTTAAAATTACATTTGTTCAACTTGAAAATTCTCTACTCCTTAGCAACTGCTTACGGTAAGACTCTCAAGGTTGATAGTCCTACGCTTGCTGCCACCAGACCCTCTATGGCTTGTGTGTTTGTGTTGAGAAAGATATCACTCAATCAGCTCCGGATGATGTTTGCATTGAAACCACTCACAACGGGTATTGACGGAAGGTTGAAATAAAACCACACCCTTCTTATTGCTTTCATTGTAGTACATTGTAGTATGTTTGGCCATATGTTTGGCCACAGTTCTACTATCTGCTATCGCTTGCATCCTCATCTAAGGTCGGATATCGCTAAATTTCAACCACCTATCATCCCTGCTGAGAAGGTGCAACACGATCCTCTTTCCAACTTCGCAGTTCCTTATGAAAAACACCATACCCAAGTCGTTCTACATATGGATGCTCCTGCTTTTGAACACCTTATTCCAGCGGCTGGTTTGGAGCATGGTACTTTGAAGTCCCATGAAGCATCTCCTCATACTACAAGTACAAATCCAAACTTGTTTATACCACTCACTGTTATTCAAGAAGACTCACATGCCAAGACACACGAGAGTGCCCTTTAATGCAATAAAATATCAGCTGGTATAACAAGTAGTTTTTTCAATGTAATAAAATATCAGCTGGTATAACAAGTAGTTTTTTCTTATATTTAACAACCTACACATGTCCGACACACTTTAGACCAATCCACTGATCAGGTGTCAGTCTTCGGATGATGATTGACAGGTCTATTCCTGGAGGAAGAAGAAGAATGGAGGCCGACTCGAACTCATGAACTTATTGGACGATACATTGGTTACTACTGACAATGACACTCATCTTACCAATTTGTTAGCTGACTTCTTTCCTAGAATTAGAGGCAGAGGCAAAGCAAAATTGGGTCCCTCTTTAACTACCTGATACTACGTGTTTTGGCTCTTTTGGTTTTTTTTTGGATCTCATGTATTTTTCTATATTTTTTTTTGGAACCATTTGCATGTGGTGGTTATTGTGCGGGTAGGGTGTCATGCTTGGGCCCTCGCACACAATCTATCTGCATGCTTCTTTCTTTTTAATATATTAGTTATTGGGCTTTCTCAATGTATATATATATATATATATATATATAGATGGTTCATTACGACACATAAAACAAAGATGGAAACCAATCTCATGAAAAACTACTGATTTCTCTGAGGACTCGTCAGTCCGATTAACCATAACAAAATGATTTAATACAAATATAATAATATTATAATATTAGTTATGTTTCATATATCACAATTAAAACATGAGAATATAACTATAAAATAGTCACTAGTATTTATAAACAATTGTGAAAGGTAATAATGAAATTTCACACATTAATGCTATAAAGAAATAATAATTACTGCAACATTACACTTGAGTAACCAAGCATGGGTATGCAACATGGCTAATTACACATGAAAGTTATTATGAACACAAATGAAGTCTATTGTAATTATATGAACAAAATTTTAAAACGTGCAAATGTTAAACCTAAGATTAGCTAGGAATCTAATACAATTAGCAAGGGTAATGCCCCTAACTAGGAATGATATCTTTATCCCATAATAAAGAGCAACTACTTACCTCGAGGCAACAAACGTGATACATTTACGAAGTTGATGGATCGACTATCGATCCTACACCAATTAGAAAATAAGATAAAATATTTTTGAAATTAAACTTATTTTATTATAAAATTAGATGCAACCAAATCAACTTTTTATTTGTATTTTCATTATTATTATTAATTATTTTTATTGTTTTTATTATTATAATATTTTTAAAAGTAATAATTTATGAACCTTATTAAATTTGACTTAACTAACAATTAAAATAATATTTTGTTTTTGCTTTATTTTGATAGGGAGGAAAAAATTGACTTCTAAATGAAATTTTTGGGAGATTTACAAGCGTGACAGTTACTCTAATAAACAGAAAAAAAAAAACATTATCAAACTTTACAGGTTCTTAAACTTTACAGGTTCTTAGATTCAATTTCTCCTCTGTTTTGTCTTTATTCCCGGATTAGGAGATCCAGTTGGAGATTTATGGGATAAGGACATCTGTTTGGGGATTTTACGAGTTAGTATCGTTCTCTATAAATTTTTAATTTACATCAATAAATGTTTGGTCATCTTGAATTTTTTTATGCCTTCGTTAGTAGCTTTGCAAAGGCAGAGCACTTAACTCTAATTTCTTGACTTGATATATGAGACTCAGATGTGTAAGCATAGGATAAACTTGTAATCCAAGATTGTTGTCGTTGGAAGAGAGACAGATACAAGTCAGTGTTTTGAAACTTTGTGAAAGAAAAATTCTGATGCTGGAACTAAAATAAATTGAGGCTAGTTTGGACTTTTAGTATTTGCATGCTAGAATTGTTAGGATAAACCACTCCTGCTGACAATGAAATTGACTTTTGATCATCTGGTGCCTGCACGGTACTTTATATATTTTTTAATCAAGGCAGCAACAAATGACTGAACATGAATTACTTTTTACATATTATTTTATTTCTTATTGTTCTTCTTGTCCATAGGTGGTTCCTTCGTCATGTTATGCTGTCATATCCTCTGCGTCTGATTTTCTTCTCAAATGGTTGGTTGATTGCAAACATGAACACCGCCAGTGGTCCTCTGCAATTTCTTTGGGAGTGATATCAAACTGCTTTCATGCTACGGATAAAATGCAAAGGATGAACGTCATAACTGTTCTTATGAAGGTACAGAACTGTTAACATTGCAGTGTCCGAGTCCTTCATAACTGCTAATGCTACAAGTCTTCTATGTAAGGTAAAATATATTGCTCCATGGTATCATAAGCAAAAATTAATGGTAAGAATGAAGGTTGGATGTTTAAATATTTGGAACTTGGAAACCCTACAACATGGTGAAAAATCTGGGCGTCCTTATTGATTTATATTCTGCCTTTTTTTTTAAGAACAGAAATTAATTACTGAAAAACATGTTTGGCTGAACTTGCTTCCTGGACATTTTTCTTGAAATTTCTATGACAACATCATGGGAGGTTTCATTTCTTTGCAAAACACAATTTTAATACATCAATTTTATATATTAACATTAATTATTATAGCAAATTAATAAGAGTACGAATTATTGTATTTTTCTCTTGTTACTGAATAGTAATATAGTTACAGTTTAATATATTATTGTTGCATGCCGGAAGATTTGCGAAGATAGAGTGATAATTTAATGTCTTAACGTTTTACTATGATCTAATACAAATAAATTGAAAATTGAAGGAGGAAACACCAAGATTTTTACTTGGAAAAGCTTAGAAAGAGAAAAAATCACAGGGCCTAGTCTAGACAAAGTATTTCACCATAAGTGTGTAATTATAAAGAATGTAGCATTTTCCAACAACTGCGAGAGCATATTTATGACTTCATACCATATACAATGTTTGTCTGCATACAATATATAAAAAAAAACTTTAGGAGTCGAAAGAAAATTGTTATTTTGAGTATGACGATTGTATGTAGTTGTCACTAGGAGTTAACGCCTGATTTTCAATACGGTGTTATTTATTATATTGTATTTGGGATACATCGTTACACCCTATTTGGAATACGCCGTTACATCACATTCAAGATATGTTGTTATTTCATATTTGAGATACATCGTTATACTGCAAAGTCCACTTATGGAGGAGAGCAGAGAACGGCTGATAGTGGTCTACGACGGACGACTGGTGATATTTTTTTATTCGAGTGTGTCCACCACAAATCTCGAAAGATTTCTATCTAAATGATCAAATATGACATTTAATGAATAATATACCACCTAGAGGGGAGGAAATATTACATTGAAATAGATCTAATCATTCAGATATGAAAATTATTAAGATCTATAGATTGAATGAAGCAGGAGTTTTTCCCTTACTTTATGGGTGTAAGATAGGGTTTATATTTTTATGGGGTCTGGTATACTTACAATGATAAGCCATCATAATTAATTACATCTCCAGAGCTATGAGCTCCACAGAAAACTCTCGTTTAAAATATTGACTCGTATTGTTCAGATTTCAAGGTATGAACTTCAAAGATAGATTCTTAGTGGATAATGGATGGATCTAAATTTAGAAATTTTGAAGAATTGTGCTCAAAAGGTTGGAATTTATAATCTAATGATGGTATATTATGAAATTCCTCAAAAAAAGGGATTTGACCATCTTAGGAAGGAGTGTCTATCCAAAAGCTTCAGAGTTGATGATCGTTTAAGTGTTTGAGTTTGATTGAGATTGAAATAAAATCAAAAGAGGTTGAATGAGGAATGGATGACTTCAATTTGAAAAATCTAATTGGGCGTTAAGATTTTGAGATGTGAATTAGGGAGATGGGTTTGAAAGATTGTTCTTCAAAAAGTTTGAGTTGGAAACATCCTGAAACTAAGAGGGTAGGGTCCGGAATGAAAGAGATGAAACCCTATTTTGGAAACAATAAGCTTATTAAGGAATCTAATAGGTGAACGAGCCTAAAATTTGAAAATAACGCCTTCGGTCAAAAGCTGATGATCCTTTTAGCTCAATTTAAACATATTTTAAATTTGCAAATGCTTTAAAGTTCATGTCAAGAGCAAATTTGTAATTATCATTTAGCTCATTGTTTGGGATAACTTTCAGTTTTTTGTTTTTATTTTGCTTGTTTTTTTTTTTCGTTTTATGTTTTATGTTTTCATAAAACGCGTTTGGTACTGTTTTAATTTATCTATTTAAAAAAAAAATTGTAAAATATGTTTGGTTGGGTATTTTCAATTTTTGTTAAAGGAGAACCTATAATTTTGATTGGCTTATCCAGAATTTTGGTTTTAACTAAAATTTCAGTAGTATAATAACATATAATTTAATTTCACCCGCTTATTTTTAATTTAATATTTTTTTTTCTCTTATGAATATAAAATAGTTTTAATTGATTTATTTATTATGTCTCTTGTTGTCAAATCTCATTTTTCTAAAATTTCTTGGCCATCAAATTTGAAGTGTGATTTAAACCATGAATTAATATCTTTTTATATTAATATTTATATGATTGCCATGATAAAAGCATCAAGAATATAGGAATAGTAAGTGATTGCATATTTTTATATCTCAATTTATTATTGATAAGTGATTGTATATTTATATATCCTGTTATCTTCCTTGTTCATCAGCCCTTAAGGTGATTACGACAGAATTAGAGCTTCGTCCACTGCATAAAAACAACTGGGAACATGGAGATACAACCATCAGCTTCCTACTTATATGTTCAGTTGAACTCACTACTTGAAAGATAGAGTAAGGGATCAAGCTCAAGGTCCATGGCTTCATTAGAGGCTCCAGGCTCCTGCAGCACCATTTGGCGCACTTCGGTTGTAAAGCTAGCTTTCGAGATAAGTGAGAGTCGCAAAAGAAACAGTGGCTTCATTCCAAACCCTAGTAATACACCTTGTCGCTTGCCGCCGCAAAGGAAGATTAATCTTGCACTTATTCCTTCGGCTTTATTTGCTTCATCGCTCGCGAGAGAGACAGGCGGTTGTTTTCAGTGTTTTAAAAACAGGCAAAAATACGTTTTTTTTTTCAATTTTGAGTATTTTAAAAATAGAAGCACTCTTCGGAAAAATAAAAAATAAAAATAGAACAAAAAAAACAAATAAGCAAACATCATTTTTTTGATTTATTTCCTATTTTTGTTTTCAAAAACAAAAAACAAATAATTGATTCCAATTATCACCCGAATTATTGTAGGCATTATGAGTCCAAAAATGGAGTCTGTTATTAGTGCGGATGGGCTCATTTAGTAGGTTTCAACGATCTGGACACATTGCGAAGTTCATTTTGTAACACGACATTCTAATGAAAATTTTTACGTTGGATGAATTCTAATGCATGAAAGCTTGCATGCAAAATTTCACGTAAAATGTTGCCTTGTAGCAATCAAAATTCACTTCATACTATTCATTCATCAATAATGAATCAATTATGACTCATAACATGAAATTACAAGTGCTACAACTATAATTTCTAAATATTTTCTTATTGAGGTGCATTTCAGTTCAACTTTAAGATTTGATTGAAATTAGTTATATTTATTTTCATTTTGCTTATTTAGTTTCAAGTTTATTTTTAATATTTGAGGTGAATGACGTTGACAAATAGTGAAATCAATAGCGACGGGCAATGGTCAACGATGGTCGCTACGGAGTTAAGAAGTTATTGTTGAGTTTGTAGCCCAAAACAACACTAGAATTCAACTTCTCTTTCTCCCCCCTCTATGTGAATAGAGGGAGTCTAATTATGGCCCTTGGGGAAGAGACATTTTGGTCATTCGGTCTTTTAATCACATATATGTTTTTAATAATTTGAGGGCCTTTATGACTTCGTAATTAAGTGAGCTTAGGGTCGTTTGATTTCTCTCATTGAAATACTCGATTTGATTATACGTATGTCAAATTCAAAGTTCATTTTATCATTTAATTAACGGTCTAAAGTCTCCAAATGTGCTTTAATGATTTGATCTGGACCTGTTTGAACTTGGATCAGACCAATTTTGGTATCATTGGGTTCGGCTTGTCAAGACGTTTAGTTTGACTAGAAACTTGTTGAAATCGGGATTCTGGATGATCTTTCATTTGAATTTCAAATGTTTTTTTCCCCCAAAGTGCCTTGACATTCGTGCCCAATGGTAAAATTTTTTGATTGTGCGTTAATTATTATTTTAAGATTACCATTTTATTGGATTACAAATGATTTTTTTATACATTATGTTGATATGGAAAACTATTTTTAGTTAAAATTAATGAAAATTTCAGTACATAGCACATAATTCCAAGTACTTACATAGTTAACACCTAAACTTTGATTTTTTACATTTTTAGCATTTTACCTATGCACGAGAACGTTTAGTTCACCTTTCAAAAATTAGCGGCTGTTGTATTTTTGATGTGATATGAAAGTTTAGGTGTATGACATGCAAATACATAGGAATTTTGTTGTATGTATGTAAGTGCCTCTAAAATTAATAGAGAAGTAATTTCTAGTATTCTTTTTGTTAATATTTAAACTATTGTTATGATAGTGCCATAGTCTATTATAAATACTTAACAAATACTATTTATAATTAAAAATTAATTATTGTGTCATGTCTTGTCAGTAAACTTTTCCTGTAAGTTATTTGGCCTTTCTATTGAAGCTTATTCTATTTTATTAAACAGAATCTGTAGGATTACAGGCCTTGATGTTTTTGAAATTTGAAATAAAAATATAGAGGTGGTATGACGGAAGTTTTTAAAATGCCTTGGTAGAGAGTATTAAATTCTTACGTTTATTGTCAGGATCAGTTTTGATATTTTGAACGGATATAGACATCAACTTCTTGTCACGTGCCATTTTATGTGCATGTACATGCAGCTAAGCATATAGTTATGCAATGTTCTTTTCTTCCCAATTTTTTTGGAATTGTCTTGTATTTAGGCTAGTACATTCTACTTCTTGTTACATGTTAGATAACGTATGAATATTCATGCTGTGGGGTTTGGTGATGTCAGGAAGCTTTTAATAGCAAAAGCCAGCTTGTCATGGGAGCTTGTGGATTGGCACTTGGTTTTGCATGTCAAGGCCTTCTTTCAAGTGTTGAAGTTGATTCCAATAGGCTTATAGAGGAAAATTTACTTCGTGATGTGATTAAAAACCTTATCATGGTACTAAGTGAGCTCTGTCCTCATGCTTCGGATTCCCTTCAAAACCTGATTGAATATTTTCTTCTGGATGGCCATGATAGTGTAGAAGCTTCTTCACTGTTGCCTCAATGGAAGCTTGATAGTTTTGAAGAAGAGCCTTGGGGTGTTGCAGGAATTGTATTAGGATTGGGAATTTGTGTTGTTGCAATGCACCGGCTTGGGCTAAATGATGCCATCCTTATCATGAAAGACATTCTTCTTTCTTGGATTCCATCTCTCGAATCATCCAAAAAGAGTTCCTTAATTTTTAATGAACTGACTGATATATCACTGGCAGTAGGCGCATGCCTCGCAATTCCAATTGTTGTTGCATTTTGCCAAAATGTTGATCTTATGATTGGTAAGATTAATACAATCTTGATTCGTTATGTTTCACTAGTTTCTGAGCTTCTAAATTCAAAAGAGTCTGGAATTCATTATCAAAATTTGCGTATGGCATCGTGTGTTGGAGTTGGATCATTTGTCTCATGCATATTGAATTATGGGGTTCACTCTATAAGATATGATGACATCAAAATTCTGTTGGAAGACTTGAGAAATGGATACACAGCATCTCATCCACCTATTGTCCAGCTGGGAGCGATGATTGGAGTGGTTAATGCATTTGGTGCGGCTGCTGGGGATCTTACTGACAAGCATCTTCAGGATTCATTTTTGCCAGTTAGTCTTGACCGAAAGGTTATTAACTGATATAATATTTTAAATTCCCTTCCAAACATTAAATTAAGGATAAAGGCATTGCGGACGCTTTAGGCATGCACGCCATTGTAAATACATAATGCTTGCCTCTCACTATCTTTCATTCCTTTTTTCTATTTGGCAGGGTTCAGATTTTGTAAGAGGCCCAATCATTTTAAGCCCTACTTGTGAAAACCTTTCTACATCCTTTGTTCAGGAACTGTTTTTCGTTGCAAAGGAATCCAAGGATCAGCAGATACGGAAACATGCTGCATGGGCTGTGGCATTTCTTCGACAAAAGTGGTGTTCAAAAACGTTTCAGGAAATAGAATGTTCTAAGGGTATTCCAATGCCTTCCGCCTTACAGTCTCAGTCTGTTCCAGAAGACAGCATAGTCTGGAAATTGTGCTCGTGGTTGTCTAATATTAACTTCCATCAGGTAAGTCCACCGCATCAAGTCATGTCCAAGTGCTTTTAAATTCCTATTTGAATATTGCAAGCAATTTTATGAATTACCAACTTGCTTATTTATTTGTACTTGCATGAGCAGTTTCGCGATTAATTTCTTCGTGTCCATCCTGTAGGATTATGCATATGCAGTAAAACCATAGGGGAGTAATGCTGACAACTGAAAGAACTTTAGAAATAATGTATGCAAAGTTCTTCGTTATGCTCTTGCACAAGTACCTGTATTGTCGAAAACTGGAGATTCCTCAAATTGGAATTGTCAAATTGGCTGTATTTTGCACTACATAAAATGAATGTATTTCTGCAAATTTGAAAATCCTATGCTGTATAAGTCGACCTAGCTTTGGTCGGCAAGCAGATACATTTGATATGGCGGAGCTTATTCTCAACTCATGAAAATGCCTTCATGAGTTATGATCAAGGAAGAAAATTTCCTGTTGAAGAGAAAATGATTAATATATCAACACATGCATCTGAAAATCTATTATATTAAATTATATAAAATAGAACTTTATTGAACTGCTTATTACATCTACAATAACTAATTTAGAGCCTAAACACATATCCAAACGATTAATTAGTTGAAAAAAAAAACTAATCGAAAGACAAACTACTGCTAATGAACTTGCTATTGTAGTGATGATCTACCATTCAACTTACTAGCAATGTTTAAAATTTTGTAATTGGACATTGAGACATTTTTCGTTTGTGGGGTGTGATTTAAGCCCCAATAAAAATAAGAGGTAAAAACTAATGTATTAACATTATAATTTATATACCATTATGAAAAGACATTAACATTTAACATAATAAAGTGTGACAAATTGCGTGTATATGAAGTAATTATTTTTGTTTGCTGTAAAATATCGTGTAATAACTTGAAAAATGCATAATTATTTTTGTTTGCTGTAAAAACACTGCCGTTGCCGGTCCCAAGCCCGGATGCAAAATTATAATGTAGCATCAACTGTTCAAAACTAACATGAAACATGAAATGAAAGTAACATAAAATATCAAATATAACATAAGTTGGGTTTAGTGTAATTGATTTCTCTTACTCCTATTATCCAATATAATAGCATCCATAGATTTAAATAAGAATATAATAAATAATTAAAAGTCTTCAAGCACTCTCCTCACTCTGTGGGTTTTCATTGGAGCCATCATCATAAGATATAACTTGTGCTCAGATTATAATATAGTCATAAGATGGTTTCTCTTTTTCTTATGAACTTGATTATATATGCTCCAAATGCACTCATTTGTGGATGACAAACATGTAAGTTTTAGTACTTTAGCAATAAATTATTGTAGCTGTCGATTATCATCATCAAGCTCGATTCACGAATTAATTTTAATTGAAAGAAAATGTTATAATTAAAAATTAAAATTTTAATATTTATTTACTTAGTTCTTATTTTAATGAACATATTGGCGTGGGGCTTACCCGCGATAGCCCTGCTTTAGTGGAAGGCTAGACTGACCCGTCCAACCAAGGTGTCTCTCAGTTCAGGGAACTTGTCGCCCAAAGAGAGAGAATCCTCCCTTTACAAATTTGACACCACTTTTCCTGTTTTAATCCTTTCCCTTTCTATTTCTTCCTATTCCATCCCTTTTCTTTCCTATTATCTTCTATTTCTATCTACTATCAACTATTATATATATTCTAATTTGTTCACTTAGAGGGTAGTCTTGATTTATCTTTGATTTTTAGATTTGTGCATTCAGCATTTCTCCCTTTCGAGGGTTGTATTTGACGACAAGAAGGTGCTCCGACTTTAACTAAAAATCATCCTTTCAATTGAGATATGCTTGTTTTCATAATTAGTTTTAAAATTTAGATGATGAAATTTTTATGAGGGGAGATTATGTTAACTGAAAATTATTAATAAATAAATAGATAAGAAGAATTTTAATTTGTAGGGTAGATTGGCTAGTGAACCATCTCAACAATTATTTCACAATCCGACCTGATAGCTTAGAATTAACCAAGTCAGAAACTCTGATCGGATGATATTAATATTTAATTAACTATCCACATATTTTTATAAACTTCTAATATAGGTAAAATAGTTGCTAAGAAACCACAAAGTACACCATACATAAATCAAAACATATAGAAATAATAACATAATCTACAAGTAAACATCTCAATCCATACACAACAGTATCTCTACACTGAAGTAAACATTACAAAAAGAAAATATAATCACAAAACCAAAATAGAGTATCTAGCAGCTGTTGTTCTCTTGTGAGCTAAGTTTCTTCTGTCAGACATATCAATCTGATTTTTTTTTTTTAAGAAACCATTAAATTCAATTGTAAGTTTGACTTATTGAGCAATTATAATTTTAATATGCATTAAATTCATATGCAAATGCTTTATATGAATATCCAAAGGAATTTCAGTTCTTTATTTTATAAAGTTATAAAATGTTACTTTAACTTTATCCTTTCTCGTTTCAATAAGTATTTACCTTTTTTATCCTCTTAAAGAGTCATATTGCTGTTAAAATTTAACATTTCCATTATTTTATTTTTTTTGAAAGAAACCATTAAATTCAATAGTAAGTTTGACTTATTGAGCAATTATAATTTTAATATGCATTAAATTTATATGCAGATGCTTTATATGAATCTCCAAAGGAATTTCAGTTCTTTACTTTATAAAACTGTATTTACTTTATAAAGTTATAAAATGTTACTTTAACTTTATCCTTTCTCGTTTCAATAAGTATTTACCTTTTTTATCCTCTTAAAGAGTCATATTGCTGTTAAAATTTAACATTTCTATTAAATATATTAATTCTAATTTAAATAAATTAAACTTTAGTTTTAATTAAAATGTACCTTTTATTTTAAAGTGATTTACACCTCTGTCTCGAAATTGAATCTCCCTTCAATTTCTTCTTGATTCAAGTAAACTTTGTATTAAATTAATATAAAATTGGAATTATACAGAGAACGTTAGCATGACCCTCTATGCAAGGATGACATATAAATCGAGAAATAGTTCAAATTTTAATAAGGAGTTGAGATTGTAATAACTGAATTTTAATAATATGATGATGATAGTAATAAAATTGGAATTATACTGAGAAGATCGACATTCATTAAAATTGGAATTATAGATAGAAGATCAGCATGACCCTCTGTGCAAGGGTGATATATAAAGCGAGAAATGGTTCAAATTTTAATTAAGAGTAGAGATTGCAATAACTGAATTTTAATAATATGATGATAATGATGATGATAGTAATAATAATAATAGATAACTGGGAGAAGTGCGTCTCTACGGTTTGATATTTGGAGTCGAGGAAGTTATTTTGTCTTTTCGACCAGAGCGAGAGATTCAAATAAATAAATATTTGACACCGTCTGACATTCTATTCTTGTCTTAGTTAATTTTATCTGGTCGTTACACGATCTTACTGCTTTGATCCATATTAGCTGACTATTTAGTTGAAGGATCAGATTCAAATGTGGGACTTTCAACTTGAGATTTAAGTAAAAGCCAAAAGAAATTATATTAGGGGAAGCCCAACGGATTCTACTAAATTGCATGTAAAGGATTAGATCCATATGAGTTTTTATATTGTGATTTGCGATTGATTTTAATATTATTCTATGATATGAACTATGCCAATTATTTGACAGTGTGCCTTCTGCATTACTATATCGAAATAGTTACAAAAAGATACACAAGAATGCCCCGAGGGATTTACAAGGAGTGATCTATCTTGATCCATATATTGAAGAAGAGCATGGGAGACATGCACATGCCTAATAAAAAAACTATTATATAGGGCTTGCTGAGCACAAAGATGAGCAGCCCTACTACAATTATTAGTCACAAAAAGCGAAAGAGCTTGCTTTAAATTCAAAGTAAAGCTATATCCAAGATATTTGGAGGTTGGCGGTTCCATCTCCTTGCATCCTTACTTTGCCAAAAAAAGTCAATGACGTTACTAATGTCACTATTAACCACGAGACCTTCCATTTCAAGCATCCAAAGTCCAGTCAACTTTCTGAAGAGGATTGGCTAAATTTATGGGCCTTATTATATTGCGCTTTGCATAAGGCTGTCTCAAAAACTTTTGTCCTTCAAATAAATTTTCGTTTTGGTAGGTTTGAAGCATTATGTAAATATTTGACAAAATAGTTTAACAAGCCCTATGCTTGTAATCATTATTTTGTCACTTGGACTGTTTTCAAATCTGTTTTTTGTCTTCTCTACTTTACATAGAGGATTAGTTGGAGAGTTATTGGTTTATGGACTTTGTCTACCCTAGCCTCCTAAACAAGGAATCTTATCTTGGACAGTTAGCGGATTTGAATCATATCAATGCTATACATATACGTGGATGATCAGGTCCTGAAAAATAATTAGGTAATGTACTATGGTTACTCTAACCATATCACTTTTCAGCATTCATGGTTTTTTGAGTTAAATCTGATCCAGATAATTATCATTATCATGACATCATCATTATTATTCTTACTTCAAAAATTTACTGTTCCTTACATGTAGGGTGGCAACTGTTGGTATTTTCATCCGCTCAAAATCTTCTTTTGTATTGCAATTAACACGGTTTTGTTAGTTGAAACAATTGATGAGTATCTGTAGTCAATAAAATAAATGTTTGTGTCATCCTTATATGTTTCAATGAAATAATTTCTGCAGGTGCATTCTAGCACTGTTGTTTCTGTTTTGAGGTGTCTATCAAAGGCACCAAGATTACCTGTGCTGGACTGGGCATCTATTATTAGAGGCTTAATGAAGAATGCAGCCAACTTTGCAAAAAAGTCTCAGATAATGCAGGATGTTACATCATTTCAAGAAGAATGCATATATTTTTCCTTAACTTGTGCGAAGGATGTCAAATCACTCTTGCTTTTCCTTGATGATTTTACTGATCTAGTCAGATTTAGGACGCTGGACCTCAATTTGCAGTGCCTGTTGCTTAGAAATGTGTCAGATCTAATGAGTTCATTTTCTACTTCAAGAATGGAGCGACTATTTGAAGATTTTGTTCATTTTTTTAGTTCATCTACTTCCCCATATTTTGTTTATGGATCAAAGCAACAAGTTTTGTTGCGCATTTCATTTTGGAAAGGTCTTTATCAATGCCTTAATGGAGCTAATGTTAAATCAAGTTGTCTGTCACAAATTGAGAGGTGTATGGACTGCTTGTTTCGCTTGATGCCATCTTTTGTATATAATGTTAAATCTGCAGAGTTGTGGTCAATTTGTTCAGAGTGGTCTGAAGGTATAAGATGTTTGACCAAGGCTCGACATGGTTGGCTTATGGATATTCTGCAGGTAATTTTCTGTTTTATTATATTCATTTCTTCATATGCTTTTCCTTTTGCTTGTTATGTGACACCAGATTTACAATGAACTTGAAGAAAATGAACTCAAGTTTGAAAATACCATCAACATATTCTTCTGAATGAATGTGAGCTTCAATGTGGCTAAAATTATCCATTTGCTCGGATCCTGCTTATACTAGCTTTTTTTCTAATCATTCAGAAAACCATTTCTTTGTATTTCCCACTTTATTGTAAAAAATATTATCTTTCATGTTTCTTTCTACAGTTTTCTGGAAAAAGCACTTTTAATGAAATTTCTATGAGGATTTTGGCAAAAATAAAGCTGGTGAAGAATGGTGGTTTATCATTTTCAGAGCTTGAAAAACTGAAATCTTACATACTAAATTTCAGATTAGAAGGTCAGTGCAAGTTCAGAATTGTTTGAAATTTGTGAATTATTTTTACTTGCATCTGTTGATTCTATTTATTAACATCTCAATATTATTATGCTTGTGGCGTCCCATAGGCTGCACACATATTGCTGTTTGAAAGCATTGGTATAAACGCTCCACTGGTCATTGTTCTTTGTCATGCCCTGGAAAAGTGAAGTACTAAATGCGCTAACTAATAGAGCAAATATTCTGTATAGGACAGTTTTGTGCAGACAAAAGACTTGATAAAACTCAATTTTCAGCTATTATCATCGTCATCATTGCTAGCCTTTTCTCAACTGTTTTGGGAACAGCTGAATAAATTCCAAGTCTTTATTTATTTTGGTTCAAAATTACATGGGCACGGGCGCTAAAAGATTTCTCTACTAACCAATTTTGCATAATTTTTATTCAAATTGCCTTTAGTTTATCCAATGTTTTTGAAAGTGTGCTTCACGAGCAAAGAGAAATGAAGTGTGTCTCAAAGTGCTACAGTTAATTGCATGTTTTCTTAACACATTTTATGTTTTTAACTACTGCGACTGATAATTAGAAATTATTGGAGTTTTAATTTGTAGTTTCATCCTCAATGTTTGCATTCAAGTTAGAAATTATACCACATTTTTTCTATTTATATCAAATTTTAAGTCATACAATAAATTTTATAATTGTTAATGAATATATTTATACATTAAAATAGTTTATATAACCTATTAGCACTTTGATCACTGAAGCGTCGCTTTGCTTTACACTTTGTGTTTTGAAGCAAAAATGAAGTCTTGTGCATCACATTGTGCTTTGCGGTTTGATGACACTAGATCTTCCTCTTTACTTTCTTAAAATCGACATTGTGGGCTCTGAAAATTCGAGAAGCACCTTAGTCACTTGTCGAGAGCTTGAGATAGTGTTTGTTAAGATCCGAGTTAAATTTTCAGAGGGCGGATGAAATAGTAGATAAGACACTGCCCATAGATTTCGCCCTTCTTTTGGGATGACTTTAAGATATGGGGTTTGAGGTTCCATAGGCGCAAGTCCTTATAAGGAAGAGCTCAACGGGGGCTCAATCTTGTTGACTCCGGTCTATGTAATGAGGAGGATCGGATTTGCCAAAGTATGGGACTTACGACCTTACCCTATAGGCATGACGGCTTGCTCCCCATTCAGCATTCTCAACGCATAAGTTTGAATATATAGGGACACGTCGGAGCACATGCAAGAATTTTAAATTGTTAATTTTAACTGAATTTTTTGGAGTTTTATTGACTTCCACGGGTATTTTATCTTTGAGATGTGTGCAAATATTTTCATTTCAACCCTTAATTTCACCTTCCGTCCACTTGTGTATTTGGGGTTGCAGATCTGATGACAATTAAAGCGAATAAAGACTTTGATTTTATATTTAGAATTATGCATCTCTCCCATGCTTAGCCTCCCGTTTGAATGTCAGGCGGACCCTCAACAGGTTTCATTCGAGCAGATTGACAAGTCGTCGAGTCCTTTGTGAATCATGCAATTTTTATTTATATTTAATCCCTTCTTTTAAGATGATTTTTGTGATCATTTCAGCATTTAATATGTAACTTATGAGCTTTCTTTTATTTATATTTTTTGTTATAATAAGTTCAATTCAGCTGCTCTTTTATGGCTGGTGCTTAGAAAAAAAATTCGACAGCATTTCAGCAGCCTCTCGGCGGCATCCACAATTGGGGGGTTACATCGAGAAACTGTGGGCTTCTACCATGATGAAAAGAGCTTGCATAGTCGGTGTCCTTCGACACTGCGACCCGAGGGTCTTCATAACCCAAAATGCTTAAAAAAGTGTGCATGGGGCTTCGAGTACTTGAAAAAAAATAATAACGCACACACACAGAGCCATTCCCACATCATTGATACGACACAGGAGGGTCTTTTAACAAATCACGCTTAAAAATGTGAATGGAGCTTGAGGTACCTCCCGATAAAAGAAAGAACAAACATAAATTTTTTTCGCCACATCGGAACAACGTCCACAAATAATCATGCGTGGCGGCCCATCTCCTTTATTTTTAAAGAAGTTGCATCTGCACCACATCTCATTTTTTTGTCTTGTCCCTCTTCTTTCCCGAGCACAAGCTAGAACATTCTTTAGATCACCTCAAACTCAAGGTTTCTTTAAAATGCATCAGGTGACTCCAAACCATACTTTCATTTTCAAAGCTTCCAAGGAATCACGCATTGAAGGATCAACCTTCCTTATTTCAGAACATATGATATTGGAGTTAACCCGAACCACAACAGAAACATAAATATTAATTTTGAATTCCAAACATATTACAAACATGATAAGGGAAAAAAGAAAATATACAACAAACAAACATGACAACATAAATAATAAAAGACGTCAGTGAGGGACGACGATGACAGAGGCTTCTGGATGGTGGTTGAGGTTTGAAGGCTGCGGTTGTAGGAAGGAGGCAGGAAGGATGGGCGGGCACTAGAACAACAAGACGGCTTGGGGCGACAGTCAAAATAACAGCTGATTGTTGTTTTGGGGCTGCTGGATAGTAGGAAAAACAACAAAGCTAAGGAGTTCGTGCCGCGGTAGCGAAGGTGGAGGGCTAGGACAATGGGCAGCGAGGAGATAGAAAGGATAAGGCGATGTGGGCGGTTGGAACTGTAGAAAATAGTAGATCCTTGTTGTTCTTGGTGGTGACAGCAAGCAATGGTAATGGCGTCAAACCGCAGTTGGAGAGGTGTGGGAACGTCATCCGAGGCTGGATTGACGGCTACGGTGAAGGCCGAAGAGGTGGAACTGTTGTGGAAGAAGTATGACAGCAGCTGGGAGGATGGACGAAGAGATAAATATCCCGATTGGGTCGAGCTACAACCAAAACACCACCCCTTAAGAGGGAAAATAGACAAAATTGAATTCAGATTTCATAAAACAACCCCAAACTCAAAGCACAACCTCTCTTATTTATAAAGTAGCATAATTTATCTTAGGAAAAATTTAAAATAAAATGTAATCAAATTTCAGAATTGAGGAAAGGATTTAAATTAGGAAGGAGAATAAAAATCATATTACAGTTTTTAGGAAATGTTTAAACTTATGAAGGAGAATAAAAATCATATTTTAGTTTTAGCAAAGGTTTTAAATTAGAAAAGACTTAGGAAGGAAAGTAAGAAAAGAATGAAGGAAAATGGAAAGGAGAGAGAGGAAGGGGGGATGATCAAATTTTCTCGAGGACTGGTCGGTCCTCTCCCGAGTCTGCGTCAGTCTCTCGGGGTTGGTGGAGCTTCGACCTCACTCGTCGAAGCTTCTGGTCCCTCGTCTTTAATCATGGCAGCACCTGTTTTTATTGTCGACTGTATTGTCTCCCAAGAACTTACGAGCGTACCTCCCTCTCGGTCGAATATCCTGAGACTGGAATCTCTTGCATGATGGTATCCATGGTGGTAATGAATCGATTGTTACTTAAACCGGTTCCGTTACTTCTTTCTCCTCGAGTGCTATCAAAGGAATTAGAATGAGGCGTTTGCTGTCCTTAGTGAAGGAATATGTGTTTTTGAATCCATTGTGCTAAGTCTTTCAGTCAAATTGTCACGGTCTTCCTAGTAGAAGGTGGCAGACGTCTATGTGGACGGCATCACACCATACTTGGTCCTGCAGCTGACCTCTATTGAAAACTCTATTATGCATTGTGGGTCGATGCTAACTTCTTTTTCTTCTTCAGCCACGTCAATGAATATAGTTGAGAATGTCTCTGAGTCGCGAGTCTCAGTTTCTCTATCATCTTGATTAATGCCACGTTCTTACTGCTATCGTTGTCGATGATAAGACTGCATACTTTTTCTTTCATTGTATAAAGGGTGCAGAAAATATTATGGAAAAACCACTGCGGAACCCTCGTATCATCGATCTGCAGAATCCGTTGAATCACAAGTGTTTTACCCTCATATGGTGAAAGTTGATGCTCAACCTGTTTTTCAACATCTTACTCTCGTTAACCTCTTCCACGACGCACTGCTCGGTAAAAGATACAACTCTGCTCGTTGGGCAGCTAGAGGTTATGTGCCCAAATTCGTGGCATTTGAAACATTTTTCTGACAGACACTGTAGTCGACTTGTTCTCATTGGGGGTGGTTTTCTCCTTATTTGAACCAATTTTCTCAATTTTTTGGGCGCACTACTTGGTTGATGGTGGTTGTCGGCTCTGCTTCTTCCGTCTTTCCACTTCCAATGCTAGTGTCTGAATATTCCCTAGCGTCTAGTATAGTTGTAGCTACAACACATTGCTAATACTAGGTTTAAAGCCCCCAAGCCATCTGACTACTTTATTTGTTAAATATATGAAGCCCGTGACCCACCAAACTCTCTCCACGTCTCACCAAACTCTCTCCGCGTCCCACTTACCTCTCTCCACGTACCATTTACCTCTCTTCGCGTCTCACCCACCGCTCTCCCATTTTCTTTAAATAGTCTCTTTTGGTCTGTCATGAATTGCTAAGCCAAGCCCTCTTAACTCATTCGCTGCTTAATCTCTCCGCTCTTTAAGCTTGGCTTGGCAAAGCTTACAAGAAAAGCTTACGGTGGAAAACTAAAAGAGAGAAAGAGAGAGAGAGAGAGAGCGAGGAAGGGAGAGAGACAGATCTAAAATTGAGCGTGTCAAAAGACTGAAATGTTTGTGGTCTGACATTGGTGGTGAGTAAATCGATGGTGGGTTCAAGGAGTACTGTGCAACTCAGGGTATCAGAATGTAGAAGTCCATTTCGAGGACACCACAACAAAATGGAGTTGCAAAACGAATGAGCATGACCATCAATGAGCGTGTCAGAAGCATGACATTGCACACCAGACTACCACCAACTTTCTTGGCAGGTGCGATCATCACTGTAGTTTACTTGATCAACAGGGGATCATCCGTTCCATTAGACTGAATTAATTGAGGAGTTTTGCAGCGGTAAAGATGTTGAATTTTCTCATCTTAAAACTTTTAGTTGTTTTTCTT